CCACCCCGTTACCACATACATCATTCGTCTATTCATTTTTACGTAAGACTTATAAATGCAAATAGTGTTGTGAGAAATGCACCAAAGCCACTGAGAAAAACTGTAATATTAAGGCTATATGATATTGGAAAAATATGACATTGCGAAAATATGAAATAATGGTTCATTCATTTATTTTCTTTTTGGCTTAATCCCTTTATTAATCAGGGGTCGCCACAGTGGACTGAACCGCCAACTTATCCAGCATTTGTTTTAAATTGTCCGTAGTGTATGAGTGTGTGTGTGTGTGTGTGTGTGTGTGAATGTGTGTGTGTGGATGTTTCCCAGAGATGGGTTGCGGCTGGAAGGGCATCCGCTGCATAAAAAACTTGCTGGATAAGTTGGCTGTTCATTCCACTTTGGCGACCCCGGATTAATAAAGGGACTAAGCTGACAAGAAAATGAATGAATGAATGAATAAATACTCCTGTGATGCGACTTCTGGATACACACATTGTGATGTCGATGCTCAAATGATATATGGTCCAGCCCTAGTTGTTACATTATTATATTGAGATATATTTATATATATATATATATATATATATGAACCTATCATGCTCAATGTGTATGTGTTTGAAATAATGAAAGTCTTCTTGTTGTCAAATGTCTGAAATCTGCTGGTTTAAAGGAAAGTGACAAAGAATACTTTATTAAATAGTATTTTAATATGTCAGCAAATGTTTTTGCTCCAAATATAACTGACGAGAAAACATATTTAGTTAAAATGTACATTTTTAAGTGATATTAGAGATCGTTGTTATTCAGGATATTCAATGTTTAAAGGAATTTTTGAATATTTATTATTGATCAAACTGAAGTAACTTCTATGACTTTATCAGCATTGTTGTTGTTTATTGTATGTTATTTTTTATACATTGACTATTTAGAAACTGTTATGATCTGTAAATGATATATTGTGTACTTAGTATTTCCATAAATATAGCCAGTGCTGCTGATAAGGCACAAAAACAAATAGATCAATTTTACTAAAGAGAATTTTGGACACTGAATCTACTGTAAGCTCATTTAGTGTCTGTATTCTGGTCATTTTTGGTATGTATTATAGTAATTTTTTTTTTTTTATTGAGAAATGTTAAAGGTGTATTCCACTTTGAACTGTGTAATAATGGATTGTGTAATCTAAGTTAAGTAATCAGATAATAATAATAATCAGAAAAAAACCTCTGATCAGAATACAGTCACTTTAATGGATTACATCATGATTGCACATTATTTACACTATGGCAGTCAGTTGTTCACAATTCATTGATTCATCCCAATTTTCTATTTTTTCAATGTTTTTTTTATATTAAACCATTTGTATATTTTTTTTTTGTTTTTTGCAGAGAGGGGTTATGTGATTATCACTGTCATCTGCCCTTCTAGGCCCCTATCATACACCTGGCGTAATAAGGTGTAATAAAGTAATCGGAGTATTATTTTGATGTTCAAACCGAGTCGCTTTGTTGTATTTCTTCAGGTCGTCAGTTTCCCAGAAGTCCGCGGCTCTCTCTGGTAGTGGAAGCTCGTTTTGATGGAGAGACTCTGTCCACAGACCCCGTGGAGCACAAGGAACAGCCACAGTTCTGCACTGAACTGGCCTGGGAGCTGGACCGCAGGACCCTTCACCAGCACAGGTGTGTGTGCTTGTGTGTGCGTGTGGGCATGTGTGTGTGTGTGTGTGTGTGTGTGTGTGTGTGTGTGTGTGTGTCTCATACCCCTCATTATTACTCATAATTAGTAGCTTTGAACCAATTGCTTGTCAAAATGATTCACTATTTCCAAGTGTTCGAAAACAGCAAGTGCATTAGACACCTGGTGGTCAAATCCATGCAAATGCATCAAAATCGCAGGCAAGACATGCATTACAATTGACTTTTTCAAGCATATTGCAAACTTTAAATTGAAAGTATAACCTATAAATACACTCATCTCCTCATCTAATATTATAACACTTTAAGAGTATGCATAGTTTGCTTTCTAGGCTTACATGCTGTTTATTCCACAGTAGGCTCTGCTAAACCGGCCAGACAGAGACTATTGACTATTATTAGTTCTTTTCCTTTTACAAATGTCTTAAAAGCATCTACAAACTCATAAAACTGAGCTGAGATCAGGTAAAAACTATGAAACCTGTATAGTGATTCACCACTGGGGTTGATCTGAGTGGACCCGCATGCTTTATTGGATTTTATGGTACACACTGATCGCCCTGACAGTAATAACATGACGACTGTGATCACGTGATCTTGGAAATTTCATACGCACTCCAAACCACTGATTTGAAACAAAAGATTCATAAAGGTTTCGAAGTTTCATGAAGCAGCTACCCATAATCCTCCACTGTCGCTCAGTGTCCTGTTTCCCGCAGACTCCAGAGGACACCAATCAAACTGCAGTGCTACGCCGTGGACTCCAGCACGTCTGCCAGAGAGAGTGTGGGATACATCGTCCTGGACCTGAGATCAGTGCAGGAGATCAAGCAGGTCTGAAATAGCTCATGTTGCAGGGGTATATTTGTGGCAATAGCCAACAAAACACTGAATGGGTCAAAATGATTTAATTTTGTATTAAGTTAAGATCGTGTTCGATTCATTTATTTAGTACATTTCTCACTGTAAAATTATCAAAAGGGATTTTTTTTAAATGAATTGATGAATAATGTAATGAAAAAACATGAATAATGCATTATTATTTAAATATTACTTGTGTAAAAAGGAGAAGCAGCACACACACACAAACAGATTTTTTACAATAAATAAGATTTATTACCATTAACTTTACTACATCCAATCAGCTCACAGTAAAAAAACAAGCCACGCCCACTGTTTTCTTATTTAATATTTAGTTTCTTTAGGAACTGCGTCACAATACGGGAAAAAAAAACCTATGCATCTTTAGGTTCATGCAAACTTTAAGTACTATTTGTCACTATTAACTAATATCGTATTACCTGCCTATTATTAAGCTATTGGTTGTTTATTAGTACCTAAAGCTTGTGTTCTGTCTGCTCTGACTGATTCGATCATTTCATTGGTGTTTTTCAGGCTCCTAAATGGCATCCTCTGCTCAGCAGTAAATACACCAAACTGAAGCCCGCGCTGCTGATCGGCATGATCTTAGAGAACGACAACAAACAAACAGCAGAAACCTTCAAAGCCAAGAAAGCTCCACCGAGACCAGGTACAGGACCACATCAGAACAGTCCTGCTATGTTGGTGTACAGCTCTACTTCCCCTTATTCTACTGTGAAGGAGTGTGCCTGGGTTTGTGTTTTAGAACTTCTGTTTCCTATTCAGTTTCCTACGGGAGACAAGACTGGGAATAATAAACGGCAGAAAACAGTCACTGTATTACAGCCTCGGCTGGGTCAGGTGGCGTTTTTGTGTGGAGTTTGCATGTTTTACCCGTGTTAGTGTGGGTTTCCTCCGGCTGCTCCGCTTGCCCCCACAGTCCAAACACATGCGCTATAGGAGGAATTGGGTAAGCTAAATTGCCCGTAGTGTATGGGTGTGAATGGAAGAGTTTGGGTGTTTCCCAGTGATGGGTTGCAGCTGGAAGGGCATCCACTGCATAAAACATATGGTTTGTTCCGCTGTGGCGACCCCTGATTAATAAAGGGACTGAGCCGAAAAGAAAATGAATGAATGAATCTTGTAAGTCAATGTTAATTATAATGTTGCAAAACGAAATCTCGCAATGTCAGATTTTTCCTAGATCGTTCAGCCATATATCTGGGAAGAATTACCTCAAGGCCCTGTTCTTGGGCCACTTCTCTTCTCCATCTACACATCATCTCTAGGACCAGTCATCCAGAGACATGGATTCTCCTACCACTGCTATGCTGATGATACCCAGCTATACCTCTCTTTTCATCCTGATGATCCCTCGGTTCCAGCTCGCATCTCAGCCTGCCTGTTGGATATTTCACACTGGATAAAAGATCATCATCTTCAGCTTAACCTAGCGAAAACAGAAATGCTTGTAGTTTCTGCCAACCTGACTCTACACCATAACTTTTCAATCCAGATGGATGGGGCAACCATTACTGCATCCAAAATGGTGAAAAGCCTTGGAGTAACGATTGATGACCAACTAAACTTCTCTGACCACATCTCTAGAACTGCTCAGTCTTGCAGATTCGCACTCTACAACATCAGAAAGATCCGACCCTTCTTATCTGAACATGCAGCTCAACTCCTTGTTCAAGCTCTTGTTCTCTCCAGACTGGATTACTGTAACTCTCTACTAGCCGGGCTTCCAGCTAACTCTATCAAGCCTCTTCAGCTGCTCCAGAACGCAGCAGCACGAGTGGTCTTTAATGAACCTAAACGAGCACATGTCACTCCGCTGCTCATCCGTTTGCACTGGCTGCCAGTTGCTGCTCGCATCAAATTCAAAGCTCTGATGTTTGCCTACAAAGTGACTTCTGGCTTTGCTCCTTCTTATCTGCTCTCACTTCTGCAGATGTATGTGTCCTCCAGAAACTTGCGTTCTGTGAATGAACGTCGCCTCGTGGTTCCATCCCAAAGAGGGAAGAAATCATTTTCCCGAACTCTCGCATTCAATCTGCCCAGTTGGTGGAATGAACTCCCTAACTGCATCAGAACGGCAGAGTCACTCGCTGTCTTCAAGAAACCACTAAAAACTCAACTATTTAGTCTCCACTTCACTTCCTAATCTGCAATTGCCTCTCTGGATATCACACCAACTGTACCCAAAAAAAAAAAAAAAATAAATAATACTACTAATACTTTCCTTCTTAGACTTTACAGACCTGAAACTCGCCTACAGCACTTCTTCATTGTTGCTCTTATAGTTGTGTAAATTGCTTCCTTGTCCTCATTTGTAAGTCGCTTTGGATAAAAGCGTCTGCTAAATGACTAAATGTAAATGTAAATGGAATAACATACCATGCAATGTCATAATTGACCAATCAGAATCAAGTATTCCAGATGCTGTGTAATGCGCTGAAGCTGATAGACGTGTTGTGAGTGTTGTTTTGAGGATAGTGTTGTTGATGTCTCTGTAATCCTTCAGGTTCTCCAGCTCTGCTTCCGCTGGACGCTGAAAAACTCAAAGCGGTTCTGAATGAGGAGGAAGGTTTTCATCAGATCGGTCCTGCAGACGTCTGCGCTGAGATGTTCGTGCTGTCGGTGACGGTCGCGTTTGCCACCAAACTGGAGCAGGTAGAAGAGCTGCAAACATACTGTATTTTAATCTGGACTCAAACTCAAAGTGCTTTCGGGGTGATTCATGTGCTGGCTTTGGGTAAGGAATTGATAAAGATAAAGAAAGAAAGTCCAAGTGAAAATGTGAAAAAGCCTTTACCAGCAAACACGATATGCGTTATTTCCACCAAACACGATAGGTTTACACACAGCCTATACAGCTCTGGTGTCAAGCTACTATATTGTATATAGTAATGTCAAATTGTATAATCTTTAGGGATGTAACGATTTATCGTTGTACGATTTATTGCGATGCAAAAATGTCTCGATATGCATGGTGGCGTTATGACGATTTGATTACGATATGACGTCCGTTTTCTCTTATTAGTTGAGCTGTTTGCACGTGAGCTACGTTCCACCTGCTGTCGCACGTGAGTTCAGATTGCAGCAGCAGTAATGTTAGCAGACCGAGATGAGTGGAGCTGAAATAGAGGATGACCCATCCTCTCAAAATCAGACGTCTGGCAACATTTCGGTTGTACAGTCATTGCTTTAGACTCGTCCGCTTTTTGACACGCATACTGGGTCAAACATCCTAAGTTTTAAAGTCTTCACAGTGATTTACATACTTTGCACAGCGACAGGGATACCTCCTAATGGTGTTGAAAGAGTCACATACTGTATTTATAAGGTACAATTCACCCTAAAATATCATTCTGTCTTCATATAATGATGTATTGGCGGCCGCAAAATCACACATGACGTGAGCTGACCGTGAGCTGTTACTACAGAGGGCGGACTATGATAGACGCGCGCGTATAGCAAGCCGTTTTAGCATTTAAACCTTGTTCTGACTATCCATAAATATATTCAGAGATATCTCTAATTATATTTTGACTAGTCATAATTATAATTCGACTAGTCAGAATGACAATTAGAGATATCTGCAATTACAATTGTACTAGTACGAAATCAGATTGGAGATATCTGCAAATATATTATGCCTAGTCATATTCCTCCATTGACTTCCATTGAAAAAAATTTGCAGATATCTCTAAATGAGTTTTGACTAGTCACAATTGTAATTAGAGATATCTCTAAATGAATTTAATTAAATATGAATTAAATACCTGGAAATGTGGATTTTTTTTTTTGCACACACAAAAAAACGCAAGTGACCAAGCAAAGCCTTAAGCTCTTACTGTTAAATTCAATTGAATAGAAAGCTTATTTTTTTTGTTGCACCTTTACTTAAATTGTTCCTTAATTTTGTCTCTGTCATTTCAATAATATTTTTAAGAATTTTTTTAATTGTTTCATTTTCCAGAGACAGGCCTGTTTAATTTATTTTCTAAAAGAAGGTTCAGTTTAACAAGTTGAAACAAAAGAAATACATAAAAAATAGTTTACTTGGTAAAATTTGCATTTCAGTTTAATTTTCAATTTTTATTCCAAATATCGAGATACATATCGAATCGTGAACATTATACCGTGATACACATCGTATCGTGAGCTGAGTGTATCGTTACACCCCTACTAATTTTATTTTTATTCCTCTGTTATCTGTCTTTGTCCTGCCACTGTCATTCTGTTGCACTGTGGAAACTTTGGTTACGAGAACAAATTCCTCATATGTGTAAACATACCTCCTTCTGATGTGTATATATATTCCAATAATAAATGAAAAATCAGCTTTTAAAATATTTTAACTATAGTTTTTATCAAATGAATTATACAATTAATTGAAAAAAAGGAAATCTCCGGAGGGCTTCTAATGTTGTGTTCAACCGTCTGTTTGTGCAGCTGATCTCCAGCTCCGCTAAGCTGTCCAGCGAGGGCTCCGAGTTCTTCTTCTACTACACTCTGCTGGGAAACGACGTCACCAGTGAACCGTTCCAGAACCTGCTGAGTCCAAACTTTGAGCCGGAGCGAGCGTCGGTCCGCATCCGCAGCTCTGAGCCAGTGTTGAGGCTCTTCTTCAGCCAGCAGCCCTGCCTACAGGTTTACTTCCATTCATCTTCATCTCTATATAACACTTTTACAATGTAGTTGTACAATGTAGCAAATTAGTGAAGTTTAACATTGATAGGAATCTGATGGTTCTGTTTTATCAGGCTTATTTTCACTGATTTGTTGGTTTACTTTTTAACAGTAAAACAGAAGAGTTCACTGTCTAAGGTTTTAAACACCTGCGGTATAGTATTAGGGGTGGGAGCGCCGGGGTTATAGAATTTGTATGAAATTCAGGTATTAAAGAAAGCTCATCAGATTTCATCTGACATATCCCATCCTCTTTTTGATTGATTTCAACCACTTCCCTCAGGATCTTGCGACTTGCTCTTTTTGGCAAGGACCAACAGACTTAAATTCTCATTTGTTCCTTGTGCTACTGATTTGCTGAATTTAATGGGAGGAGTCAGTGTTGAGTCTGAGTCTATTAATGTTGCTTAGTGTTTGTCTGAAGTGTGTGGTGTGGTGTGTATATATATGTTGTTAATCTAATGCAATGCAAAACAAATCGCCCCAAAAGGGTGCAATAAAGTTTACATTAACCGTAACAAAGCAGCGACACAGGTGAGGCTTAAGATGCTGTTTACCCCAAGCAGAACATGAGGATAAATATATCAGAAGTCAGAATTATTCGCCCCCTGTTAATTTTTCCCCCCAATTTCTGTTTAACGGAGATCAGATTTCTTTAACACAGTGGTTCTCAAACTTTTTTCATCAAGTACCACCTCAAAAAAAAGTGTCCTTCCAAGTACCACCACAATGACCGGTATTGAAGTACAGTAGCGTAGTAGGCCGAGTAAAGCAGCTACAGCACTGCACAGTTTAAAAATGTGGCAGATTAACTACTATTATTAAGAACATTTTTAGTATCAGCCACTTTAAACATTATAAATAGTTTTAACATTAACACTGTACTGTGCTTATGCAAAAAACTAACAAACAAAATAAAATATCAATGTTTAAATTAAAATGTGCTTTTAAAAGTTGATTAAAAATGGTAGGCTACTGTTCTTAAAAAGTAAAAAAAAAATCTCCTGTATTTACATTTACATTTAGTCATTTAGCAGACGCTTTTATCCAAAGCGACTTACAAATGAGGACAAGGAAGCAATTTACACAACCAAGAGCAACAATGAATAAGTGCTATAAGCAAGTTTCAGGTCTGTAAAGTCTAAGAAGGGAAGTGTTAGTAGTATTAGTATTTTTATTTTTATTTTTTTTTTGGTACAGTTAGTGTGATATTCAGAGAGGCATTTGCAGATTAGGAAGGGAAGTGGAGACTAAATAGTTGAGTTTTTAGTGGTTTCTTGAAGACAGCGAGTGACTCTGCCGTTCTGATGCAGTTAGGGAGTTCATTCCACCAACTGGGCAGATTGAATGCGAGAGTTCGGGAAAATGATTTCTTCCCTCTTTGGGATGGAACCACGAGGTGACGTTCATTCACAGAACGCAAGTTTCTGGAGGGCACATACATCTGCAGAAGTGAGAGCAGATAAGAAGGAGCAAAGCCAAAAGTCGCTTTGTAAGCAAACATCAGAGCTTTGAATTTGATGCGAGCAGCAACTGGCAGCCAGTGCAAACGGACTAGCAGCGGAGTGACATGTGCTCTTTTAGGTTCATTAAAGACCACTCGTGCTGGTGCGTTCTGGAGCAGATGAAGAGGCTTGATAGAGTTAGCTGGAAGCCCGGCTAGTAGAGAGTTACAGTGATCCAGTTTGGAGAGAACAAGAGCTTGAACAAGGAGTTGAGCTGCATGTTCAGATAGGAAGGGTCGGATCTTTCTGATGTTATAGAGTGCGAATCTGCACGATCGAGCAGTTCTAGAAATGTGGTCAGAGAAGTTTAGTTGGTCATCAATCGTTACTCCAAGGCTTTTCACCATTTTGGATGCAGTAATGGTTGCCCCGTCCATCTGGATTGAAAAGTTATGGTGTAGAGTCGATTTGGCAGAAACTACAAGCATTTCTGTTTTTGCGAGGTTCAGCTGAAGATGATGATCTTTCATCCAGTGTGAAATATCCAACAGGCAGGCTGAGATGCGAGCTGGAACCGAGGTCGAATGCGAGTCGAACACTTTAAATGTAAAGTGTTAATCTATAATATTCTGTTCATCAAAACCTGGAAATGTTGCTTGGACCCCATAAATATTGGCTATATGTCCTAATATTCACATTTGAATCCATTTTATAAATTTTGAAATATATGTTGCATGTACATATGACATATTAGATTCCTCTGTGTTTGAGAACCACTGCTTTAACACATTTCTAATCATAATAGTGTTAATAACTCATCTCTAATAACTGATTTATTTCCTCTTTGTCATGATGACAGTAAATAATATTAGACTAGATATTCTTCAAGACACTTCTATACAGCTTAAAGTGACATTTAAAGGCTTCACTAGGGTAATTAGGGTAAATAGGCAGGTTAGGGTAATTAGGCAAGTTATTGTATAATGATGGTTTGTTCTGAAGACTATCGGAAAAAAACAGCTTAAAGAGGCTAATAATATTGACCTTAAAATGGTGTTTAAAAAATTAAAAACTGCTTTTATCTTGCTGAAATAAAACAAATAAGACTTTCTCCAGAAGGAAAAATATTATCAGACATACTGTGAAGATTTCATCGCTCTGTTAAACATCATTTGGGAAATATTTAAAAGAGAAAAAAAAATTCAAAGGGGGGCGAATAATTCTGACTTCAACTGTATGTACAGCAGGGGTGTCAAACTCAATTCCTGGAGGGCCGAAGCCCTGCACAGTTTAGCTCCAACCCTGCTCCAACACACTTACCTGTAGGTTTCAAACAAGCCTGAAGGACTCAGTTAGTTAATTCAGGTGTGTTTTATTAGGGTTGGAACTTAACTGTGCAGAGCTGCGACCCTTTTGGAACTGAGTTTGACAGCTGTGAGGTACAGAATGTGATGTTGCTTGTCTCTCACACTCAGATTCATCTCTGCTGTGGAAATCAGTCTCTGGGCAGCACTGACATCAGTCTGGCGGGTTTAATAAAGAGCAGTTCTGATCTGAACAAACACTCGTGCACTATTGAGGGCGCGTTCATCCTGCAGCCTCCGAACCGCTCCAAACCCAGCCTGCAGACGGTCCCGGCAGAGCTGCAACCCACAGTGGGCATTTCAGTAACACTGAGACCTGAAGACGTCAATAATCAGGTGTGCTTGAGTTTTACATGTGCATTTATTTTAAAAACGCTGCTTTTTAATATGTATTGCCTAATGTCTGTTGATAATTTGTTTAATCTGTTGCGTTCCTGATCTAGTTGTCTATGGGATGTAATTCTGTGGACAGCCTTCAGTGTTTTTAACAAGGATCTTTGTGTAAACAGCTAGACATGCCCACTGAGAATGGCCTTAAAACTCCAGTGAAGAAAGGCCGTGTTCCAGCCGGCCGTCAGGAGGAGTGTGTTTCCCTGCGGAGCCCGTCAGCGCTCAGCAGATCTCCAGATCCTCCTCACAGGTCTCCACACACTTCACCTGAACACCGGCACTCTGAGAGCGAAGCCGAGAGTCTGTCAGGTGATGTCACACAGGCCCCGCCCACAGCCCATCACCGGCAGGCCTCGCCCACATTGCATGACAGACATGCCCCACCCACAACACATCAAAGACTGGCTCCACCCATATCAGATGACAGGCTGGCTCCGCCCACAACACATGGCAAGTGTTGAGTTAAGTGTTTATTTGCTTTATGATGGTTTCAGATCTTTTTTTCTTTGATTTATTGCTGAAGTTTTTATCATTACATCACTCAGTATTACTCAGCATTAGGAAATTGACCCAAGCTGCAAAAAACACTAACATTATTATTTAACAGGAGTGATAATAAAAATACTTAATGTATTGATTTATAAATCTCGAAGCGTTTCCCCTTTTGTTACTCAGTTTCCTTCATTTTCTTTTCGGCTTAGTCCCTTTATTCGTCAGGGATCACCACAGCGGAATGAACCGACAACATATGAAATATTTCAACATTTATGCAGCGGATGTCCTTCCAGCCGCAAACCCAACACTGGGAAACACCCATACACTTTTGCATTCACACTCATACAGTTCAGGACAATTTAGTTAACCAATTCCCCTATAGCGCATGTGTTTGGACTCTACGCCAACACAGGGAGAACATGCAAACTCCACACAGAAATGCCAACTGGCCCAGCTGGGGCTCAAACCAGTGTCCTTGCTGTGAGGCGATCGTGCTACCCACTGCGCCACTCAGTTAGTAACAGTTTACAATTAAGTCTCATTAGTTAATGTTAGTTTATGAATTAAATCCAATAGTAACAAAGCTAGATTTATTACAGCTACTCCGTTGCTAATAGTTAAAAAGTACAACTGAATTGTATTAGCTATTATTATTAGGCAATTAGGCAAAGAAATTAGCATCACCTGTAATATTAATAAGCTTTCAAGGTGAATGTAGGTAAATTAAGTGATGGTAAATATTGGAGTGTTAATGTACAAAACCAATGTAAATAGTCAAATAATATGATCAGTTTTTCAGCATGTCCAGATTTTAAATGGAAATGTTCGTCTTTGAACTATTACGGTAATTGACCAATTAAGTCTCCAAGCATTTAATGCTGAACAGTCTGAAAACAGTCTGGATATTTTTAGAAATCACTTTAAAAGATTAATAATAAATAGCTACTCAGAGTATTTTGAAGTGTCCTGGATCTCACTATAGGCACTATTTTAACAATCTAGGTGCAGTCTAGATCATTAAGTCTGCAGCTCATGGCACAAAAGCATTAAGCTCGTGTCTGAATCCGCTTTTGCTATTGTAAGGATGGATAAATCCGCTCTGCATCCTGGTGCATGGTCTAACAGGGCTGTGCTGATTCTCTTCATGAGTTCTGGGTGTGTTTTGAGCATAATCTGCATTGGACCAATCAGAGTCTGGTCTCTCACTCCCTTTAAGAGTCAGTTGTGTCGCTCTATGGTGTATTTGCTATTTACATGGCGACTCTGTAAGTGTAAAAACTGAACGCTTCACTATAGCGAGAACACAGGTAAACAGAGCATCTGCAGCGCGAGGATAAAGAACCAGCCTCCTCCATTCAGCCTCTTTACTTTTCTTTACTTTGCTGCATACCTGCCAACACTCCCGTTTTGCCCGGTAGTCTCCTGTATTTCAGACCCATCTCCTGGCCATCTCCCATATTGTTCTGTCTCCCGGAAAACTCCTGGAATACCAGCCCAACCCCCACCCCCCCTGCTCCTCAGCTTTTTGGTACAGTCCAGTCCCCATGAGCACCGAGACCAACATGCAACCGTCTTCATACCCAGCTTATCAATTTGCGCGCACCTCCCCCCCCGACTCTTCACTTGGTGCAGCCCCCCTACCTCCCCCCTTCTTCACTTCGCGGTGGAAACTCACTCCACTGAACACATCCATTAGCCCACATGTTTAATCTCCTTTGATAAGCTCAAAGATTCGCTTCAAAATTATGTCTAAATTCAGCTCTAATCTCCAGCAGAGGAATAAATGAACAATAATAATGAAGTGTGCTCAGAAAACTGAGTGATATCCAAACACACGCCCTGTTCTTATCCTCATATGCTGATGCAGACGTCTCCAAAACCCCACAGCTGGACACATCTACACTTGTGTTTATTATAAATGTGCAGATAATCAATAATACTGATCATACTAATCACATTATACAGATGCAGATGCTCATTAATAAACTGAAGAAGGCATGGAGGCAGTGCTGTTTATATTGATGGAGGAAATCCTCATTTCTGGATCATTTTAATGCTGTAATTGTTTCATCTGTAAAGATATCTGTGTGTTGCTGATCATCCTGTGTGTATTCAGCTGTGTGTAAGTGTTTAAGACACAACTAACGCGCTCTGCTGGACTTTAGAGCAGCTGTTAGTTGGTTAATTGCGCAGTTTATTTCAGTTCCTCAGAATAGCAGTGAATAATTGAATGTTGACGTTTCTGATGATGGGAATTCATCCACTGCTCTTTCTGCTGTGTGTTTCTTTTTTATCCACAGCCAGTACTAAGTAAATGTGTGTGTGTTTTCAGATGTTCCCGATGTGCTCGTACGAACTGAAGCTGACGCCGCAGACTCTTCCGTCTCTGTTTCTGCCCCAAAGATCTCCATCCCAGCCTCCGCTCATCACTTCTGCTTCTCTCTGGACCTGCGCAGCATCCGAGACCTGAGGACCAGCTCACCTGTTAACTGCTACCTCAGGTGAGGCTTTGAAATCTGCTGCTTTATTGGATGTTTTCCCTCAACCACACTGACACGGAGCAGCAGCGTTTTAGAATGAAAACGGCGTCTTTTGCGTTTCCAAAATGCTCCGTTTTTGACGCACGAAAACTGCGGCGTAGGTGGACGGATGGCGTAACCGTAGCCAAACTTATGCGCTTTAAAACTAAAACGCATTAGTGTCAAAGGGCCCTAAAAGGCCATGAAACCCCCCTGTTTTAGCAGGATGTTTTCACACCTTTAGTTTGGAAAAAGTCAGGAAAGTGGGTGTGTCTAGCTCTGTTTGCTCAACCCCCGGGACCACAGACCAGCACCAGTCTATAGATCAAATAGATCAATTGGTACCCGGCCGCACCAAAAATCATGAATTATTTTAGTTTCATTTATAATCCGGGTCTTAACGATTACATATTTTGAAAGATCTTTTATTTTGAAAAATTAATTTAGATTAATTCAATTAAAAAAATTAAAAACACAAGTTGTTGGATACTGTAATGGTTAATTGTAGCCTAGCAATAGGTTTTCATTTAGAGATATGCATTTGTTGTATTGTTTATATGTAAATTTGCATTTTGAAAATAACAAAATGATAACCAAACAATACAGTGTAATATGGAGTAATGATATGCTTTAATAAGAATGAAGAGGTATTGTTACAATAAATATTATGAAAAAATAAGGGATAAACAATATGATTGCATGTGCAATGCAAACTTCATTGGTAATATATAAAATGTACTGTATAGCTATATGAACAAAATGAGTAGACCATTTATAATTGTGAGTTTCTATATACATTTATAGATAAAGGATAGTTTAATTGTTTAAACTAGAACAGGATTGTATTATATTGATTGTAATTGAAAGCAATGCAATTTTAAAATTTAAAATAAAATCAATTAAATTTTCAGATCTGTTTAGATTTATTTCAATATTTAAGAAAGTCAAATTTGGAGGAATAATGTAGTGTAGTTGAAGTGTAGATTTGGCTGACAACCCAGACCATGCAAGTGTATTTTTTAATCTATGAGAAAATATATATCTTTAAATAATTATAAAATATATAATAATTACTCCCTTGCTGAGACAAAGGTAAAAGAAAATTAGCCTACATAACACACTTTCTTATGTAGCTTAATGTTCTTTTACTGATGTAAAACATGTAGCTGGCCTGCACATAGTTAGCTAAAATTGAGTCAAACTAACACATTGCTGTTATATTACACCAATTTGTTTGTGTTGACATACACTCATATCGACCTTAATCTAATAAAAAAAGGTTTAAGTTTCATGTTTGCTAATGTTTTAAACACGTATTTAACATAGATACCTCTTCATGGTGTCGCGTTTGGTTGGGTGTGATAAAGTTCTGGAGGCTTAAAATAATACTGTACTGCCTCCCTCTACTGGACACAACAGGAACAACAGGGGCGTAAAACTGCCTGGGCCGTAAAACTGCTTGGGCCGTAGATCTGTCTGGATCCAAGTCTGCAGCCTCCCCCTACTCACTTGGTTCAAATCCAGACTGAAAACTCATCTGTTTAGCTGTGCCTTTACTGAATGAGCTCTGTGCTGCGTCCGACAGATTGCACTATTATGTTTTTTCGTTTTCTTTTTCATTCTTTTATAACCTATTTTAACACATTTTAATTTGTTTTTATCTGTTTTTAATCATGTTTATTGTCTGCATTTTATGTCCTAAACTTGTCTTTTTTTATTCTTGTTTATGTAAAGCACTTTGAATTGCCACTGTGTATGAAATGTGCTATATAAATAAACTTGCCTTGCCTTGGAGAGACTATGTTTTCTGAAGTGGTACTTGGTGAAAATACTTTGAGAACCACTGTTCTAAAGTATATATAATCATATTTCGCTAACACTTTACAATAAGGTTCATTAGTTAATGCATTTACTAACATGAACTAATCATAAACAACACATGTAGAGCATTTATTAATCATAATTGAACATTTACTAATGCATTATTAACATCCAAACTCATGCTTGTTAACATTAGTTAATGCACCATGAGTTAACATGAACTAACACTGAACTACTGTATTTTCATTAACTAACATGAACAAATACTGTAGTAAATGTATTGTTCATTGTTTGTTCATGTTAGTAAATGCATTAATTAACATTAACTAATGAACCTTATTGTAAAGTGTGACTCATATTTCTCACTTTATTTAGAACTTCAGGACAAATGTTTAATTAAATGTAGAAATACCTAATGACAGTGTTCCTGCTGGTGTTGTAACCCGGTTTTCTGTTGTCAGATATGCATATCAGTTCTTCGGCAGTGCTGCTCCCATCATGACCAGCCCGGCGGTGGAGGTGAAGAAGAGCACGGAGGTGTTTTTACCACAGTCTTACTGCGCTTTTGACTTCGCAGCGCTGCCCAATCAGCTGCAGGACACTTTCCTCAGGTCAGACCACGTCAGATATCATGCCTGCATTTCTAAAGGCTTTAAGGAGACCCAATAATACAGATTTTATCACTGTTTATTCTCCCTCAAGTGGTTCCAAACCGTTGTGTGTGTAAGTGGGGCTGGTATTCATGGTGTTCTGGGCACCAAACGTCCCCAGCAGCAGCAGTAAATGTTGATGTTGTGTGTTGATTGTTTTGGTTTCTATGAGAAAAAGGGTTGATAAATCAGACAGAATGAAGGAGTGTGGAGATGGAGAAGAGCAGAGAGTGTGTGAGGGAGAAAATACAGTCTGTACAGCACACACACATCACTACAGCTGTGAGGAGAGACCATAAAACATGAACACCTAATGTGTGTGTGTTTGTGTGTTCAGGGTTCCTCTGCTGGTGGAGATGTGGCACCGAGAGCCGGGTTCTGGAGATGTTCTGCTGGGTTCAGTCAGTATTCTTCTGTCTCGGCTGCTGAGCTCAGAGAAAACTCGATTCCTGGACGCGTCCGGCCGACAGCACTGGAGGAGGAGCTGCACAGAGAGAGTCCCCATCAGGACAGCAGACGGGTACACATACACACACACACACACACACACACACACACACACTGCACAGTATGTAGAGTGTATCCCTCAGCTGGACAGTATCATAGTTCACTTTTTCCAGTGTAGTTGATGTAGAGTCCAGCACTACACTGATCTGACCTGCAGATGGCAGCACAAAACACACAGTGAGGAAATGTGAATCTGATGCGGATCTAAAGAGGGTGCATCTCTCTGGACACTATAGATCACTACTAATGGATCTTATTTCTTGATATATAAATTTTGGTATATGAGAATCATTTTGATGAATGATTATTGTAGGGAGCATTACTTCTGTGTGTGTGTGTGTGTGTGTGTGTGTGTGTGTGTGTGTGTGTGTGTGTGTGTGTGTGTGTGTGTGTGTGTACGTGTTTTTGTGACATCAGGACACAAATCTGTATAATGACATGGGTATGACACAGGTATTACAAAAAGCAGGTGAAATATGAGGACATTGGTGACGTCCTCGTTTCTCAAAATGCGTATAATCCTACAGGATGAGTTTAATCAGAGAGTAAAGCTGCACAGTCTCTTGTGATGGTTGGGTTTAGGGGTAGGGTGAGGGCAATATAATATACGGTTTGGACTGTATAAAATGAATGGAAACGTATGTAATGTCCCCACTTTTCACAAAAACAAATGTGTGTGCATGTGCAGGTCTGAGAAGCTGGCTGAGCTCTGTTATGTGGCCGTTCTTGAAGATCTGGGCTTCGTGAAAACTCAAGACATCCTCGTCTCGGAATCCTCACAGGTGCGTCTCGACTCTGCACTGAACAGCTTATTCTAGAAGACGAACGCTAAAACTATCGCTTAAAAACATTTTAATTCACTGTCATAAAATTAAATATTCACAATATATTAAAAACTACGAACAGTCACTGAAAAACTAAATAAAATAATAATGAATACAACTTATTTATTGTTTAATAAACAATATTTTTAGAATTAATAATCACTGTGTTGTATACAGTTGAAGTCAGAATTATTCGCCCCCTTCTTTTTTTAAATATCTCCCAAATGATGTTGAACAGATTCAGGAAATGTTCACAGTATGTCTGATAATATTTGTTCTTCTGGAGAAAGTCTGATTTGTTTTATTTCGGCTAGAATAAAAGCAGTTTTTAAGTTTTTGAACATCATTTTAGGCACAAAATTATTAGCCTCTGTAAGCTAAATTTTTTATCGATAATCTACAGAACAAACCATCATTATACAATAACTTGCCTAATTACCCTAACCTACCTAGTTACCCTAATTAGCCTAGTGAAGCCTTTAAATGTCTCTTTAAGCTGTATAGAAGTGTCTGAAGAATATCTAGTCTAATATCATTTACTGTCATCATGACAAAGAGGAAATAAATCAGTTATTAGAGATGAGTTATTTACACTGTTATGATTAGAGATGTGTTGAAAGTCTTCTCTCATCTAATAAAAAAATAAACAAGCGCTCTAACAGTTCAGGGGGGCTAATAATTCTGACTTCAACTGTAATTGAACTGTTTGGAGAAACCAGCAGATGAAGACACTTTAACACACAAACAACATTATACAGTTACACATTATAATTAAAAAATCTGAATTGTGTTTTGAACTGAACCGAAACTGGCACACTCCAGAACCAGAATATTAAATCATGAAAAGGCACACCTGATAAATCATATTCAACTATGAATATATTTTTGTGTGAATTTTATCTATTTATATTTGACATGTTTGTCTATGTGGCGATGCAGTGGCGCAGTAGGTAGTGCTGTCGCCTCACAGCAAGAAGGTCGCTGGTTCAAACCTCGGCTCAGTTGGTGTTTCTGTGTGGAGTTTGCATGTTCTCCCTGCCTTCGTGTGGGTTTCCTCCAGGTGCTACGGTTTCCCCCACAGTCCAAAAACATGCGGTACAGGTGAATTGGGTAGGCTAAATTGTCCGTAGTGTATGAGTGTGTGTGTGTGTGGATGTTTCTCAGAGATGGGTTGTGGCTGGAAGGGCATCCGCTGGGTAAAAACTTGCTGGATAAGTTGGTGGTTCATTCCGTTGTGGCGACCCCATGATTAATAAAGGGACTAAGCCGACAGGAAAATGAATTTTTTCGTGTAATATTTTATTCATATTCATTTTTCCCTGACATTGCCACAAGTTGCTGATGTGGCAATAAATAAATAATAAATAAACAAAGCCATTAATGAAACAAACCAACACTAAACTGAAGTGTACAGCAAACTTAAAAATAGCTTAGAAATAAGACTCATTTTTTAAAAAGCAAAGCTGTTTTTGACCTTACTCTGGAATGCAGAAGTGCGCTGCTTTTCTGATTCATTCGTTTTCTTTTCGGCTTAGTCTCTTTATTAATCGGGGGTTGCCACATCGGAATGAACCTATCCAGCTTAGGATAGCCAGGATTAGCCAACTTATCCAGCATATGTTTCACACAGCGGATGCAACCCATCACTGGGAAACATCCATACACTCTCATTCGCACACATACACTACGGGCAATTTAGCCTACCCCGTTCACCGCATGTCTGGACTGTGGGGGAAACCGAAGCACCCGGAGGAAACCCACGCCAACACGGGGAGAACATGCAAACTCCACACTGAAATGCCAACTGACTCACCAGGGGCTCGAACCAGCGACCTTCCTATTGTAAGGTGATTGTGCTTCCCACTGTGCTGTTCTGTTTTTCTGGTTTGTTTGAGAAAATTTTATTCAGCTTTCTATCATTAGGAATAATAAAAGGTAAAAAACGGTCAAACGACGTGCTCTACAAACAAGTGTGTTCATGATTATACATAAAACGTAGAATAATATAATAGGAAAATATCAGTTTGCAGCCTCAACAGCAGAACGAGCTGTCTTTAACCTCTGAAAACAATGCAAGCGAACAAGATTCCTTTAAGAATAAGGGCTGCGTCTCAATCACCCTAGCTCCTGAGGTCATTCATCAGCAGGTCATGTGCACTAATAATGATCTCGGTTCACTAAACTGAGCGTGACATGAGCACATCCTCATTGTTCATCATCAAACTGGAGTTTATAGACAACGGTAGTTCTAATCATGTTCATATATTTATTTAATGTATAATATATACATTAAAAGCACATTACAGCTGAATAATGTAATGCGGGTTTCATAAACCAGAAACATTTCAATCATTAAACTATTATAAATGTTTACTAGGATGTATCTAGCTCTGTGTGTTCGTGTGAAAAATAAATAAGTAATAAGTTTATTTTAGAAAACATCTCTCGATTCTCGTTACGTTTGATGATTTGAGTCACGACATTCATATTTTGCACTTCTATATAATATAAGGGCACATGCAGTAGTGTGTATCACTGCGCCCTGATTTTCATGTTGCATTGTGGGACATTTCAGGGTGGAAGCGATTTGTTTCACTGAAGTAATTTTGTTATTGAGACAGCACTAAAAATATCTGACGCCCTGATCAGTGCACTGACTAGTAAACAAGGGTGCTGATTGAGATGCACCCAACGCCATTAATTTTCTTGATGAACAGATGTCGTGTGTGTGCGTGTGTGCGTGTGCGTGTGTGTGTGTGTGTGTGTGTGTGTGTGTGCGTGTGTGTGTGTGTCAGGGGCCATCAGCAGCAGCGGCTCCTCCTGAGGGCCCCAGTGAGACTCTCACTCGACCCCGAGAGACCCTTGAGTACAAGGCAGCGCTGGAGCTAGAGATGTGGAAGGAGATGCAGGAGGACCTGTTCGATAACCAGGTTTGTGTGTTTGTTTGGATGAATTGCAACTAAAGATTATATCCCATGAAGACATTTTGTAAATTTCTTTCCGTAAAACAAAATCTTATATTTATTCATTTTTATTAAGTATATATATATGGATATTTATATATATATATATATATATATATATATATATATATATATATATATATATATATATATATATATATATATATATATATATATATATATAGAAAGAGAGAGAGAGAGAGAGATAGAGAGAGAGAGAGAGAGAGAGAGAGAGAGAGAGAGAGAGAT